CTCCCCCCACTACGCTCTCCCCCTCCTCTTCCTCTCCTTCCTCTTGCTCCCTTCTCACCGCAAAGTTGCCATGGCGAAACTTGGAGGAGAGGGAGGAGAAGTACGAGGAGTCGAGAGGAGGCTCGGAGGTTGAGCCAGCCAAGATGTTGACAGGGCAGTTGACCTGGTGGAGAAGAGGACAGAGGAGAGTGAGAGAGGAAGAGAGGGAGAGAGACAGGAGGGAGGGAGGGAGGGAGGGAGGGAGGGAGAGGGAGAGGGAGAGGGAGAGGGAGAGGGAGAGGGAGTGTGTGGTATCGGAGATGGAGCAGAAAGGAAAGGAGAGGGAGGTGAGAGAATGAAACGGTAGAGAAAGCCAATCAAGGGGAGAAAAAGTGGAGAGGTGAGGAGGAGGAAGAGGGGGCGGAAGGAGGAGGAGGAGGAGGGGGCGGAAGAGAAGGGGAGGAATAGAAGTGGCGGAGATGACGGAGAGGACGGAGAGGACGGCAGGACTGTCTGGCAAAGAGAAATGAACCTGATCTAACTTCATTTCTTCCGAGTTGGGACGACCTGTAGCGAGCTGATCAGTTCGACGGAAAGAAACAAGTTGAAGCAGGGAAGGGGAGATGGGAAGGGAGGGGGGGAGGGAGCTGGGAGAGAGTTGGATGTATCTTAGAGGGGATAGAGACAGGTTGAGGGAACCAGGAAAGAGGAAGCGATCTCGCAATGACAACAAGGAGGATGAGAGGATAAAGGCGAGCAGGAGGGAGAGTTTAAATCTTCCTGCGTACACGTTGACTTCATGTTGCGGTTGGCACTGTCCGGCAGCAGCGTGAGAGGGAGGCAGGAGCAGGGATGAAGTAGAACAAACCTTGAGGGTGAGCTTGTCGTCTTCTGTCTGCCTGAACCCTCCGTGGATGTAAGCCTGAAGAACTTGTGAGGAGGAGATGATCTTGGGTACAAGAGATGAGATGTCATGGTGTTGTCACACTGAGTCTGACTATCAGCATTGATCTTCTGGATGGGCGAGCATTGCATGACAGATTTCGCACTTGTTATAGGAAGGTTTGTGGCAAAAGGATGAGATGAGATGAGATGAGATGAGATGAGATGAGATGAGATGAGATGAGATGAGATGAGATGAGATGAGATGAGACGAGATGAGATGAGATGAGATGAGATCAATCATAACCTTCATTGCTCGGCTATCAAACTTTTTGAAGGCTTCTCTTGTCTGCATGTACTGCTCGAGCTGAACACAATGTGAACAAGACGACGAAACGTTTCGAGTGTTACCTCCTCGAAAGAAGACCATTCCGACCTGAAATGTGTTCAGGCCGATAAAATATCACAATTGTGAATCATCATCATCATCATCATCATCATCATCATCATCATCATCATCATCATCATCATCATCATCATCATCATCATCATCATCATCATCATCATCATCATCATCATCATCATCATGAACATCATCATGAACATCATCATGGACATCGGAAACACCTTCTCATGTTGGAACGATATCATTCAAATATCAAAAGCCCTCTACATGTCTATCTTGCATGATCTCATCTCATCTCATCTCATCTCATCGCATCTCATCGCATCTCGTTCCCTCACCTTCGCTTCATTGCGGATCGTTTCAACCCCTCAGTTATGGCATCCGGCCTGCGTTCACGAAACAGAGAGAGAAATGAAAGCATGTCAAACTCATCTCTTCTTTTTCTCGAATCTGAACTCCCCGCTCTCTTACCGGTTCGAAGATTCAGGGTGAGGGAATATGACAGGTTCCATCAGTTGCAACGTTGCAAACATTCCTGGATTCTTCTCACGACCGTCAAGATCGTTCAACGTCCACCGACATGACATGTCAAGTCACCTCAAGCTCGGCGAGCACGAGGGATGTCGCACCCATGCTGTGACCTACTCCTGCAAGGAACTCGATTGAGAAGACATGGCGAGGAGAGAAGAGGTAGAGAGGAGGGAGGGAGGATGGAGAAGGGAGGGATGAAGAGGGAGGGAGGAGGGAGGAGGGAGGAGGGAGGAGGGAGGAGGGAGGATGGAGGGAGGAGGGAAGAGGGAGAAGGGAGGGAGAAGATGGCATGAAGATGAGACAAAGGATTCTCACCAACAATCTTATTGCAATCTCCCCTAAACTCCTTCAAGACCGAGCAAACATCCTCTTTGGCAACCTTCCAGTCCTTCCAGTGGTTTGCACTGAAAGCACACACGTCAACCATGGCGCGCACATGTCAGAAACTCACTCTGCTTCTGCTCTAGAGTCTCCATGGCACGAGAAATCGAACGAGACCCATCTTAGCAGGCAATCATGTCATGGCAACAACCCCTCGCACTCCGTCTCGACACCAACAACACCTGAAGGGTTCACGAGACAACTTCTGAAGCTCATCCACAAACGGTTGCCAGATCTTGCAAGAGACAGGATGAGCGTACATGCAGGGCGACGAGACACATCGTCACTTCTTTGCAGAAGCTCGTCGCATGGCAGAACACGAAGAGGGGAAGGGGATCCTGACTGGCTTCAACTGCATCCCCTTCAACAACTTGGCAACTCAGGAGACGGCCATACCCTCCTGATCGCTCCAGTATCGCGGACTGTGCGGAGTCTTGGCGGCTAGAGGAGGATGACTGCGAGCATGACTTGCTTCAAAGATCTTTCCTCATTGCAGAGGCACAAATACCATATCCCTTGGCAAACAGAGATACCTGGCATTGACGACAAAGTGAGACCTTGTTCCTTTTGTCTCTTCCCCTTTCTCCTTCCCACTCTTCTCATCACTCTCATCTCTTCTCCTTCCTCCCTCTCCCTCTCTACCTCCCCGCTATCTCCTCTCCTCTCCTCTCCTCTCCTCTCCTCTCCTCTCCTCTCCTTTCTCCCTTCTCTCTTCTCCTCTCCTCACCATTGCTCGTCTTCCGCAATCTCCCGACCGCTCTCGCCAGCATTCCTTGTATGTGAGGTCGCACTACCCCTACCAAGCCCCGAGAAAGCACACCCCACCCTATAATTTGTATCAGTATTTCGTATGCAAGATAGGGTACTCATCACCATCGGGGTGGGGGTAACGGGGGATACGGACGCATCCGAAAAATCCAATGGGGGATGAACGGGAAACCGAGCCGTGAGGAGAGGAGAGGAGAGGAGAGGGGAGGGGAGGGGAGGGGAGGGGAGGGGAGGGGAGGGGAGGGGAGAAAGGATGAGGCAAGCAGACGGAGGAGGGAGAGGAGGAGGAAATAAGAGTTCCCACGACTGTCGAGAGTCAGAGACTTGGATGTTGTTGTCAACGGCCTGAAGAATCCTGTCTGACTTTGTTCTTGACTTCCTCTTGCTTCTCGAGGCCGATCAGGTGCATCGAGATCCATGAAGCAGCTTCAACTCTCTGGCTACCCACTGAGCATGGTTCTCTTCCTCCTGCTGACGATAGCTATGAGGACTGAATCTGGCGCGGAGCTCGACCATGCTCGGGCGCAAGTGGCACAGGAAGAGGGACCTCGGAGGTTCTTCCAGTGTCTTCTGGGAAAAGAAGTGACGGTCGAAGAGTTCTTCATCAACTTCTGGGAGCAGCGACACCTTCACGTGAAGAGGGGGAGGTCCAACTTCTACGGCAACATCCTGAGCCTTAAGGATGTGATGCGCTACGTAGGGCGCGGAAGAGTCTCCATGGCACGGTCCAACCTCAGGGTCTGCAAGTACAAGGATGGCGTCCGGAGGGAGAGGAGGATAAGAGGAACGAGCGCGTCAGAGCTGAAGCGCCAAATCTGTCGAGGATACACAGCGCAGATCTTCTCACCCCAGCACCTGTGCACGCCTGTAGCAGCTGTCTGTGCGCAGCTGGAGCAGGTGCTCCATAGCCTTGTGGGGAGCAGCCTGTACGTCACTCCCTCTCATTCGCAGGGTCTCGCTCCCCACCATGATGACGTGGACGTGTTTGTCTTCCAGCTGCACGGTAGGAAGCGATGGCGCTTGTACGCACCCAAGGTCCGTTGGCCCAAGAGCTACAGCAGGGACATGCGAGATAAGGAAATCGGCGAGCCAGTCCTCGACGTCGTCTTGAAGCCTGGCGATCTGCTGTACATGCCAAGGGGAACAGTCCATCAGGCTAGCACGCGCTCCTCTCCCTCGATTCATCTCACCATCTCCGCGTACCAGCATCAAGCTTGGGATGACCTCCTCCTCGCCGCTCTCCCTTACGCTGTGAGGCAGGCAGCGGAAGAGGAGCAGGAGCTCAGGCGTTCTATCCCTCTCGATACCCTGCGGGTTCTTGGCATGGCTCATGGGGTTGTCAATCGCACGTGCGAGAGGAGAGAGAGTTTGTTGGAGAAGGCGAGGAACTTGACGCATAGGCTTGCGGAGAGCATGACTGGCGCGGTTGACAAAGCCGTCGACTTGATGGCTGCTGATTTCATATGCGGGAGGATGCCAAGGAAGTTTGCAGATGTAGTTCTTCGAGCTCATCAGGGCAAGGAGACCAGGGTTCTGGAGCAGCCGAGACTCTCAGCGAGCAACCAGACGTGCACAATCCAAAAAGAGAAGGCAAGGGGAAAGCATCGCCAACTCTCGCATCACATGTCCTTCAACAAGACATTCTGGCTGACGAGCTCTCTGTGCATGAAGGAGATGTCGAGGAAGAGGCTGATCATGGAAGATGAGCATGACAGGGATGGAGATCATGAGGGAAGTGCAGGCTGCACAACGAGGGTCAGGTTGTCCATCATATCGGACCTGAACAACGAAAGGAAATATCACATGCGGGAGTCCAACATGGTGACAGTCCTCGTGGATGATGAGCTCTTTGATTGTGGATAACAGGGGAAACTTCACAGGTTCAAGCTTCCTGGCAAGTACATCGAGGCACTGGGAGGTCCAGCTCCTCCTGCCTGTTGTTCATCGAGTGATGTTCTCTTGCTGCCAGATCTCTTCAGTCGCCCGAACGCCATCGTCAGAGTGAAGGATCTCCGACTGCCGTGCGACGAGGACAAGGTTATCCTTGCAAACATCCTGGTGAGCATTGAGTGGGGACGGTGCAAGATCGACTCCTTAACGCGGCACGTTCAAACCTCTCATCACATTAGCAGGTTGCGCAGAAGATTGCTGCTCTTGTTCACTAAGCATTCTCTTCATCGTTGGAATTCGCTCCTCCTCCAAGGGAACAACTGAAAGAGCAGCGACACGATTCAAGTATATGATGTACAACAGCCGGAGATCATCTAGGTGCCAAGATCGCCCACGTCCGACACGATCGCCCACGTCCGACACGATCGCCCACGTCCGACACGATCGCCCACGTCCGACACTAACGTTTCAGTCGAGCCCTGCTTCACTTCTCGTGTCCAAGAAGCTGCAGGATCATGAGGAAGAGGTTGATGATGTCGAGGTAGAGCTGCCGCGGCAATCATCATCAGCGTGTCGGACGGGAAAACAACTCAGGAACCTCAATGCAAGCTGTGATGTAGTCGTCGCAGCCCAACTTGGTCATAATCTGATGCCTGCCCAACAACACACCATCATCACCAGGACAAGATCATCTTGCCATACGTGTCATAGATGATGAACGCGCTGAAGAGAAGTGCTCCGAGAAAGGCGAAGGTGTATCCAGCATGAATACCCACAAAGAGACAGACCACGGAGTACCTGCATTCTGCATCAGTAGATCGTTTGAATTCATCCTCAGGTTCACAGAAGAAATCCAACAAGCGCAGCAGGAAGAAAAAGGCCCTGACAGACTATCAGTGTCAAATAAAAGAACAAGATCTTGTCTCTCCATCATCGTTCCTGTCTCAAGCGCAGCTCACACCTCGTTCCCTCCTCCCTCCCTTCCCCCGCTCAACTCCCCCCCTCCCCCGGCTCCCCTCCCTCGCGCCCGCCCAAGCCGCCCCTGATGCACATCGCTAACTTGCCATCCTCACTCAGTCACCCCCCTCACCATGAAGGAGAAGTCCCATCGTGAAACATGCACGAAGACAGTCAACCCAGCAAAGATGATGAGAGTGATGCCCCATGCCATCCCGACGAGCTGGCCCACACCATGAGCCTCGTAATGCGCGCAGACTGTCACAAAGTCAGGAGGAGACGGGAAGCAGAGCAAGAGGACCTGCAGCGACGGCAAAGGACTCGGCAAACGTGAAGGCCATGAGTAGCTGCATGTTGGTTGGATACTTATTCTTGTAGACTTGCAGAGCGAAGATCAAAGCAATGGCTGCATTAATGTGAACACTTGCTCCATGGGGGATGCGAATGATATGAACAGTGCGTACTTGTCACAAAGGATACGATGGTCAACCATGGATTGGAAAGAACAAATCGATTCACTGCGGTGGTGTACATGACTACCCAGCACATCGTGACCGTGGCAAGCAGCTGCAAACAGAGGATGCCATACACCTGGAGCATAATCAACAACATCCGATCATGCATCGTTCTACATTACTTTCCGCATAAAGCCGTGCTGGACTGATATTCGCTCTTCCTCCGTGTTGTAAACCGGCGAAGGCCACCCTACCAGTTCTGCTTGCTGTGCAGCGGACACACAGCACGCAACTAAGTGAGCCGACGCCCCAAGAGCAACACCAGGAGAGAACATTCATGATGATGTTAGCTTACCTTCCAGTTCGATGGTCTCTCGCTTCCCCCCCCCGCCATTAGCCGCATTCGCTCCTTCCCCAGCATTCAAGTTCGACGGGTCCGGACTATCATCCACCTTTCTTTTACTCAAAGTTAACTTAAGCTGAAAATCATTGTTGGTATGGACTTTCATCAGTGACCAAAAACCCGCCCCAGAGCAAATCCAACACCCCAGAAAAGGCAGCTCATTCCAATTATTGAAAACAGGCCCGGCTTGCCTGCTGCCGCCGAGTCGGGTGTCGGCCCGGAGTCGCTGGCCGGCGCCCGGGCCGCTGGCCGCGCAGTGCGACTGAACGACTACCCGGTCGAGTCCGGGGCGACGGGCCACATGGCCCGGAGCCGGGCGGCCCGGCCAGCCCGGACTCGGTCGGACCGTTTGCCAGTCACAGTCATTAACCCGGCGTCGGGCCGCGGCCCGCGGCCGGCCCGGCCGCGCGGACCGGCGCCCGGCATAACCTCACCGTTGAACCGGCCGGCCCGTCTCCCGCCGGGAACCCGGGCGTGCCGCACCACCGTGCCACTGGGCCACGGCCGTGACCGGTCAGCGATGACTGAGTCTCATGCGGCTTCTCGGGCCGATGCCAGGACTGGCCGCCGGCGGCCGGGCCCGCCGCGCCGGCCGCGCCCGGCCGCCCGCCGGGCCCGGCCCGGTCGGTCGGATCATCGGACTCGGCCCGAGCCGCTCGATCATCGCCATTGAAATCCGGGTCCGGAGGGCGGGCCCGGTGACTGGGAAACCGTGCCGGAGCGGCGCCGAGTCATGTCGGAACATGCTCGCATGGTCAGCAGCCGCTCCTGCGGCCTCCGCACGGTCCCAAGTTAATCGGATGATCAGTACCCCCCTTTCAAGCCGGAGATCACTCCGAGGCACCACTCAATTCCCTTTTATATCACCCCTGTCCCCTACAATGTTTGTACCCTTCCCCAAGCCGATGCGGTCGAGAGGACAGGGTAAGTTGGGGGATTTCTTTATGTGTCATCCTCGTCTACGTCTCTTCCGCGTCACGGATGGTTCCGTCAGTGGCCGCCATGACTAGAGGACCCTTCCCCACTACAACTATGCGGACCCCACACTCATGTTCACCCCACCCTCACATCCTAGTCTTCATCACCCACCTTTTGAGAGATTCGGAACACACTTCAGGATCACCCACCCATCTTTTTCAGTCCGGAGGGCCGGTTCACCGGGAGTCGGAGTTTCGGATTGTCGCCGGCTGCTATACGTGACTAGGCTTTAAAGAGTTGAGTAGCTCTTTTCCTTAAACCACCCCTCCAATATACCATGTTTTAACCCTTCCCATCCTGATTTAACAACAACATCAGGTTCACGAGCCTCATCTCAACTTCTTCCCCCAGGGCACGAGTAGCTTCATCTCTACCACCCCTCCTTCCACGCCCTGCAACTCCTTTTCTGTCCTGCTACCCCCTACAAGAAATCACCACCCCTTCATCCCGTTGATACTTGTTATTGTTGTTAACAATTAAAGCCCCTCTTCTTTGGACCCTACCTCCCTTTTTGGCACCCTTCCCCTGTGGTACCCCATCCGTCGAAAGCGAAAGGTGGCAGCGCTGACTACACACGACACCCAGCAAGGGGGAACGATGCTGTGCGCACTCGGACGGGTGCATTCCTAGGAAGAAGGAGGGGTGGAGGTAGAGGGAACCCTCGATTGAAGGAGCCACCCTCTTTGCTTCTGAACCATTTTTCTCCTTCGATTTTTTGCTTCAAAAAATGAGTAGGGGTTCAGATTGTACCCACCCCCACCATTTCGAATCTACCATTTGTCACAGGACCGTACCCACCCTTGGCGATCCCCAAGAAGATTGTGGGGTGGAATTAGCGGAGAAGGCCGCCTCGAGAGGAGGTAGGGTCGCATTGTCTTCGGGTACATTGTTCGTGATCGGCTCGGGTAGAAGAACCCCAAGTTTTCCACCCCCTACCACCCTATGTTCCAGGACCCCATCAAACAGAAGACCCTCCGTGATCGATGACTCGGGAGAACCCCGGTCCCGAAGCACCCTCCCCCTTTCCGTGTTTTAGCACCCTCCCCCCTTCAGTTGTACGGGGGTCCTGACTACACCGATAGGAGTAATCTGGGGAAGGAGATTGTACCAGAAACAGATCTCAAAACCGAGATCGCAACTTTACGGGAGATCCCCGATGCCTCGTTTGAAACATTCAAGTCATCAAAGAATCAAAATAAAGAGTATCATTTCAATATTGAGTTTAAATGTTGGAGTAGGACAAAGCCGGTCCACTGCAGGAAGGGACGTATATCAAAATGTACCGTTCAGAAAAATCGACGGTTCGAAATATAAAACGAGTTTTGTACATGTCTAATATTTTACAAAGCATTTCGTTTTCACTGCTTATCATATTAAAAAACATACTCAATTCTATCGAAATAGCGGTATTTCGAACTATTTACATACCCGATCCTCACGTGGAGGGTCCAAAAAAGCATTTAAATTACTTTTAGCATTTTTCAGGAAAACATGTTTTAAACAGAGGGCTGGATCTCCACCGTATCCTGGTAGTAAAGGGGTAGACCCACCACCCGCAACGGCGAAACCTGGTACGGTGCCCTAATGTCCTTTTTCACAAGCACCCCATGATTTAATTATCACCGGTCTGTTTCCCTGCGGAATCCTGAATAACTACCGGGTGATCTCATGCAGGATCTCAAGTACCCACCCCACGACTCTGCATCGGATGAAAGACTACCCCACACTACAGGGGTAAGGGGTGCAGGTACCCCCACATTCCTCTGCTGTGGATCAGCACATGCAGAGAAGCGAGTAGGGCGTTGGCAGGGTGAGGGCAAGAAATGGTAGTGTTTTGTAAGAGGAGACGATGACAGGAATGGAAACACATCATGTTTGAGATGGTGTGTTGTACAATTATGGTGGATTTGCACAAGAACAGGAAGCAAGTTTCTCACTGCAGTGTTTTGTTGAGGATTTTCCGTGGAGACGGATCAGTATGATTTGTTGAAGGGGATAAAAGATCAGTAAGGGAGTGGGTTCATTCTCTGAAAGATTTCTTTTTACCCTCGTATTACATGTTTGCTATCTGTTCCTTTACCATTTGAGAAATGATTTCTACCGGAAACAATCAAAATTGACGTTTCTCTTGCAGGCGAATACTATTTTATTTTTGGATACTGGACATCTCTTTTGCTTTCTTGCTCACGTCGAGGGTTTATAAGACATCGTGTATGTCAGAAACTGGCATTGGTCAAAACTCGTATAGCTCTTTTATTGGATCTCAAAATCAGGTGCACGGATACAGCATGCCGTCGTCGCGCAGGAAGGTCAGTGCAAGGTGTGCAAGTTTGTTGGGCACAACTCTCAAGAGAAGGATTCAACGCACGGAGAGGGAGCTTATTCCTCAAGTCTTTCGATTCGAAGACCCATTCTCATCTAGTCCCCAGCTGCTCATCAACAGGCTTCCCACCACGTACACAGAGAGCAACCAAGACATTCTGGAAAGTTTTGTGTACCCCGAAAGCATGGACTCGCAGGATCAGTACCTGGCAAATTATTCTCCTACATACTACGATAATGGTGTCGTGACTTCCCCTTCCGATGGGTCCAAGCCCTCCAGTCCATCGTCTGTGGGCTCATACGATTCCGTTCCATCGCCCCAGGCTGTAAGCCGAAAGGAGCTCAACAGAAGTCGCAAGAATGCAGCAGGAGTTAGTTGGTGGCAAGACATGGTCGAGGCTCAAAGTGGATTCCCAGTAGCTGAGAGAAACTGCAAGAAATCCCGAAATCTACCGTCTGTTGCTAGGAACGACCCTGCGCCATCGGACACTTTCGCTGTCGAGGGCCTATCTCCGGACATGGACTCGCAAGGGATCTTGCTTCATGGAGTGAAGAGCGGGATTCCCGTGGCAGCAAAGCTCTTGGAATCTTACAAGAGGAGGCAGCTAATATTGAAGAATCTGCTTTCGAAACACCCAGACACAAGTGCCATCTGGACTAAAGAGGAGATTGAGGAATTCGACGGTGCGGTGCCCACTTATGAGTTCAACAATCTTGCCTTTCCGAGCCAGTTTGAGCTGGAGAAGATGAGTGCGACCACCAGAGATCTCTGGAAATGCTTCATCGAGCAGCACAGCAAGCTGCGAAGTGTCGAAAGTTTGAGCTCAGAGAAGGAAGCCACGACGAACACTGTTGTTGAACGATCGCCCTGCGATGTGCAGAATGAGGTGATTGACAGCGGAAAGAACTTTGAGGCGATAAAGGACGTGAATGCGGCAACGTCTGTTGATGAGTCAAACAATTTTGCGTGGTCGTCGGAGCCAGTCGATTCTCAGTTTATCAGTGAGACAAACCCTGTTTTCGAGGACGAAGACCTCAGCTTGCTGTGGGAGTGTAACAATGTCAACGACCCAGCCCTGGCAGGAATGTAATTTTGACTTCGGATTGATTAGCAACTGCTCTTCGTTTTGTACAATGTGAATATGTATGCTGAGTAGATTGTGTTGTTAATAGTTTCCGATGATGCAAATGGAATTTTGTAGTTTCGTGTGTCATTTTGTTTACTTGATTAAATCTTAAGTTTGTGAACTCACCTGTGCCTGCTTGAACAACATGCTGGCAATCTTTCTTCTCCTCGCACGTGCCTTGATAACCTCGTCTTGCTTTCTCTTCACGATCTGTCCGAACATTTGCATGGTAGACGTTCGACGCGGTTGATGGATTGCTGAGACGCTTCGAAATGCATTATCCTGCTGCTTATCCTCGTCCTCCTCCTCGTCCTCCTCCTCCTCCACAGTGCTGCGCTTTTTCTTTCTCGCCTCCTTCTCAACCAGCTGCTGATGCTTCTCTGGACCGAGCACACGCACAAACTCAGACTCGGGGATCAGAGGAATACTGTTCTGAGCTCCTCCTATTTCCTTCTCCTTTCTCCATGTCTTGCCGTTGCGCTTGCTCACTGGTGCATGTTCTTCAACTAGTGGCGGCCCATGGTAGGGATCGTCGTACATCTCCATCAAGTCCTCCTTGTTCATCACTGTCCACGGGGTGTCGTGCTCCTGCACTATCCGTTGGAAGCTCGAGGGCTCTCGAGAAGAGGAGCCACGAGAGGGAGACTGGGAGGGAGGATCAGAGTCGTCCTGGTCAAGCCTGTCGAGCAGCTCTTTCTGCCGTCCTTCGAGGACTCGCCTGATCTTAGCAATGCGATCCTCACCTCCCGCCATCAACCTGTCGAGGAGGACGGTCTTGTTCCCTGACACGTGAAGGTTGAATTGCTTGCACAAGTCTTTGAGGAACCTCGACGACTCTGTCGATAAGGAGAAGCGCAAGTCTTGCCTGGGATCGCCTGCTCCTCCTTCCTGCCTCCTCGCCTCTCGCTTCAGCTCTCGGACACAAACGTGCCCGACGAAATCTGAGTCGGGGAGCGCAGGAACCTTGCGCGCAGAGGGACCTGTCTCGTTGGTGTCGGTCATGCGTGTTTTGACCTCATTGATGAGCTCGACGATCTGCTTCATTTCCTCTCCTTCCTTCTTCTCCTTTTCTCTCGCTTCCTCCTCCTCCTCTCTCGTCTGTCCCAGCAGCGCGTCTCGTAGGATCAAACTTTCGGGGTCGAAGGGCGTTTGGTGGAAAATCTGCTTGGTTTGGCAGGGGCCGATCAACCCGATGTCAGCGAGGAACCCTTGCTCGGCAGCCCCCAGCGCCTGTCTTGTATCCTCAAAGTCTGCTGACGTCACGTTGTTGCTGATCTCAGGCATGTCAACTTCACCCAGGAAGATGTTGTGCTGCGCAAGCACGTGGGAGATGTTTTCATCGCCGACAAACTTCTTCGCGTCCCCCAGCATCCCCCGCAGAGCCTCTCTCACCTCCACTGATGCAGGGAGCAGCTCGAGAGCAGCTCGGCAGTCACTCATCCCCCCGAAGATCCTTCCCCTCTTCCATCTTGCTATGCCTCTCCTGTACAGTAGCTTCGCTCTCCCCGGTTTCAGCTGGAGGGCCCGGTCGCAGTCCTCCTCAGCCTTGTCAAACATGCCCAGCTGAAGGTGGACGAACGCCCGGTTGCTGAGAGCGGCCACGTCGTACATGTCGAACGCGAGGCATCGATCGTAGAGGTCAAGGGCCTTGTCAAATTTCCCCAGCTGGACAAGATCGTTTGCCCGCAGTCGCATCCTCCCGAACTTGATCGTCTGCTCCTGCCGCTGCTGCTCGCCCTCCGACGTCGATGGCTGCAGCCCATAGAAAATCTTTTCCTTGTCCCTGTCGCGCTGGGACTGTGAGGTGCAGGATGCAGAGGGGCAGTCATCGGAGTCGCTGGTCTGGTTGTTGTGCATATGGGAGAATGAAGAGAATGATCCCTCCTCGTTGGAAGGGTCCAGATCGGAACCTGACGACGATGATTCCTTCCCAACAAGTAGTGTTAGCAAGCAAGCCAACCTCCCTCCTCCCTCACCTCATCTGAAAGTTCCTCAGTTTTCCTCCTCGCATCCGTTTGATTCTCTTTCACAGTTGCTGACACCGGAGCCGTTTGGTTGCATTCATCTTTCAAGCATACATGAGTTAACTGCGAAAGGAGGGCAGGGCGGGGGAAGTACCATGGAGCCGGCGTTCAAATTCACGGAGAAAGGAGGAGACAGAGATAGGCTGCCCTAACAAGCCTTCAAGGTCTCCAGTTGTTGTGTGTAGTTGCACGATCAAGAGGAAGATAGTGCTTGCACACGCTACATGCATCCGCATGCTGGTAGGAGAATCCTGCTGCAACGTTAGTGAGGAAGGGAAGAGCATCAAGCTTACTGGTTGCGCAAACGATTATCTGGAAATCACTTCATCTCAGGTGACATGCCATCTGTGCCTGCTGCACTCAACATAAAAGAATCAGCAAACTTATCTATATGCAAAGGAGAACAATCTTTTCTCTTGCACTCTGCGAACAGTCAGAGGGCAGCGACCATGTTGGGGATTCAAACACACAACATCCAAAACGACAACAACATCCAAGCTCCTGCTCCTCCTGTCCTTCCTGCTCCTGCTCCTGCTCCTGCTCCTGCTCCTGCTCCTGTACCCCTCGCACTTCTCCCACCTAGCTTTCCACGCATTTTCAAAACTACCTCGAGTCTGCCTCAGAGTTCATGGCCCGGGAACCGCCCGCCGGCGCCCGGGCCTCCGAAAGCCTCCGGCTGCCGGGGCCCGGACTCTAGGTAACCCGAGTCTCGCTCGGAGCGACTCAGTGACTATCCCCGCCCGCAAGTTACCATGAACTTTGAGTTTTACTCATCGAGTTTCGGTTCTCCACCTCCGTGAGATGTCTGAGTGATCTCTGGTGGGTTAACTGATGTACATCTCCCGTCCGATCAGACTTCTAGTGGGGCAACGACGTCGATGTCGACTGAACCAGCTTCTCCTACCTGCACACCTCCATGACATCTGATACACTGCTTGTGAAAGCAGCGGCTCACCCCGTGCTGGAAGATGTGGTCCCACTGCCTCCCGACTCTCTCCCAGCTGAACTTCTTCCTCGCCCACTCCTTCATACGCTGCCTGTGACCCTGTCGCACTGGTCAGCTCGAGACTCTCCTCCTCCAACACTTCCTCCTCCTCCTCCTCCTCCTCCTCCTCCTCCTCCACACATGATATCGCTCGGCATTGTTGCCGGCGTCCACGACGACATCAATCCATTGCTGCAACCATTCGGGGTTTTTCCCGATCAGCCCTTCCCTGGCAGGAGGTCCGAGGTCGAAGAGCCCTGCGGTCTCGTTCAAAGCTGAGTCCAGGAAGCGACTCGTGATGGGGATGGCGCCCATGGCCTGCAAGCGAAGGTCAGGAGGAGCGCGAGAAAGAAAGAGGGAGGGAGATGAGGAAGAAGGGGAGGGGGACGAAGGGGAAGGTGAGGGGGTGGAGGAGAAGTAGCAGGGGAGGCTACCTGCGCTCGCATGAGCGAGATGGAGGAGATCTCGGCGATCTCACATGGGTAGAGGTAGAACCCACACTCACTGAGAGCCTTGGTAAGCTCCTTCTGCCTGGTGACAATCACTCTCAGCCGCGCAAAAAACTCGCCTTCCTCGTCCTCGTCTTCGTCCTCCTCATTCCCTCTTCCTCTTCCTCTTCCTCTTCCTCGTCCTCGTTCGTCATTCTCTCCTCCCCCCCTTCTGCCTTGTAATCATTGTTCTCCTCCTCCTCCTGCTGATGCTTTTCCTCCCACTCCCTTACCCCACCATCCCCTTGGATAGAACTCCCGGATACTCTAGCATTTCATCGATGGACTTCTTGAACGCGTGACCTTCAGGCCCCACCCTCTCGATGTGTCTCAGCATGCCAGGCGTCCACCCGTAGTAGACCTCCAGCGTTGAATTAGGAACGCGAGCATGGATCTCGGGCCATGCTCTGTGGGGCAGAGAAAGTCAGACCAACTATCTGCCTCTGCCCCTCGTACAATACCACAAATACCCCTCGACTCCCCCCCTCCTCTCCGATCCACCACAACCCCACTGATATCGATTCGTCCTTCTCCTCCTCCTCCTCCTCCTCCTCCTCTTTCCTTACTCCACCTCCTGCCCCTCTCCCTCCCCCTCCCCCACCGCCCCCGTACTTCAGCAGGGTCTTGAGCCCGTAGAAAGGATGCGACGCGTATATGAACCTCTTGCCGTAGTTTGGCCCATCCGTGAAGAAGGAAGCATCGATCCCGTTGGCGCTGACTATCTGCCATCCAGCTTCTCACTCCTTGCCCTTGATATGACAACCTCACCGTTTGCTGCTGAGCATAGTCCGGCATCTGATCGGCATGATAACGGCTCATTGCAAACGCTCCGTCGATGGTTGTCATGAAGTCCTCCGTGTACCGCTGAGTGTACTGCCAGGACGAGCGAGATCAGACAGAACTTGAAAGACGGTATGGAATGACGTGGGTCAGATGAAACGATCTGAGTAAGATTAGGAGCCATGTGATGTGATGTGATGTGATGTGATGTGATGTGATGTGATGTGATGTGATGTGATGTGATGCGTCACATCACATATAGCACCTGTCTGTAATGGAACCACATGTAACGAGACCATGCGTTCCTTCCGATGTCAACAGCATCTTGATGGTGCCACCAGATCACAAACACGCCTGGACGTGAAAAGTCATCACGTCGGAGGAGAAGAGCAGGAGGGGGAGGAGGAACGGCGCCCATGCCGCCGGCCGGCAGGAGGAGGAGGAGGAGGCAAGGTGCAGCAGGAGAGGGTACAGCAGCAGGACGAATAGGAGCAAGCCTAGCAGCAGCAGCAGCAGCAGCAGCAGCAGCAGCAGCAGCAGCAGCAGCAGCAGCAGCAGCAACAACAACAGAAGCAGCAGCAACAACAGGCTTCTCAACTACCAGGGCGGTTGCTCTCGTCGTATGCCCAGAAGGGGTGCCATTCGACTCCGAACTCGTCCTCCCAACCCTGCAAGCCTCCCTCACTCCCCTCCCTCCTCCAGCTTGTCCGGCTCTCACCGAGTCTTCCGGCCCCGGGTTCGCGTACACCACCACCTTGTAGCCCTTGGCAACGAGCTGCCTGCTAGCAAAGACCACAGCCTCGTTCGCTCCTCCCATCCCCTTCAGCATCTGACGCTACTGTAAGAGCAGGAGAGAGCGGGAAGAAGGGAGCGGGACGGGGGGGCGGGAGGGTAGCGGGGGGATGCACCTTGGTCGGACCCCAGTGATCGGACAGCTCCTCGAGGTATTGTCTGCAGTGTTGGGAGGACGTCACAGGAGCCTCGGGGAGGAGACGGTCACTTGCCTCGCGAAGATCACCACACACTTGAAGGGACGTTCATCGTTGCGGCAAGGATGGGAGTCAGGGTATCGGACGAGATCGGTCTTGAACCTCTTGCGATTGAACCGCATCTGCAACGCAGATCGTCAACGAGACCTCCTTATCCTCGGGAGGAAGAGAAGGATGGGGACGGTCAGGGGGAGGAGGATGAAGATGAGGAGGGCAAGGGGGAGGAGGATTGGGATGCGGGAGACGCAGTGAGGATCGTCCCGCACCTCAGCTCGCAGCAGGGCAGCTTTCAAGGCGATGCCGTTGTCGTTCTCAGTGGTCGGGTCGAGGATACCAACCATCTCGTTGATCCCCCCGCCTGCATCGACAGATTGCAACCCGTTATCCAGCGCCACCTACCTGTCCGTATCAGACTGACTAGAGGACAAGGAGTACCCGGTAGGAAGTTGTCATAAGGAAGAGGGAAGTGGGGAGTGGGGAAGAAGAGCAGGAGAGGAGGAAGAGGAAGAGCGAGCGAGCAGAAGAGTAGGACAGGAAGGCAGGGAGGATGCGACCTCGAACCCCTCGAGGACACCCTCATAGCAGGTGCTGGTCAACGTGCATGAGCTCGTCTGCATGTGCCAAAGCCAGAGGAGGCAGGAGTGCGCGAGGTGAAACTTGAGGAGACGTCAGCAGGAGACAACAAGGCATCGATCGTTACCCATGGCTCTGTGGCGCGGGACCTCAGGGCTAACCTGATGTACTCCATGGCCTCATCGTACTTCTTTGCCTGCGGCGTCATGCTAGTGAGCTCTCAACCCGACAGAGCGAGGGGGAGGAAGAAAGGGAGGAAGAGATGGACGAAGGAAGAAGACAAGACAGGGAGGAATAGAAGAAGCGAAAAGTGGCCGGTGGAAGGGGGACGGAAGAAGAGAGGAAGATGGTTGATGGAGACAGAGACAGAGACAGAGCGAGCGAGCGAGCGAGATGGATGGATGGATGGATGGATGGATAGAGAAAGAGAGAGAGAGAGAGAGAGAGAGAGAGAGAGAGAGAGAGAGAGAGAGAGAGAGAGAGAGAGAGAGAGAGAGAGAGAGAGAGAGAGAGAGAGAGAGAGAGAGAGAGAGAGAGAGAGAGAGACTCACTTGGGACAGGGTGATCCATAACCTTGGAACTACTGTCTTCTGGTGATGGGTCAAACATTTCCAGAGCTCCGACTCTAAGGAAGGGTTGGGGAACATGTGAGGGATGGTGGAGACCTGGTAGATCTGCCACTTGCAAGTCAGCAAGCTGTTTGCAGATCGACGATGGCGGCACCGTGTCATAGTTGAACGGAGTGTTGACACTGAACCAGATGTCCGCTCCTCGAACCTCCCGCAAGCGCCTCTGACTGTCTATCCATGCTGCATGCAGGAAGATGTGGTGAATGCCGTCAGGCATGGCAGAGATGGAGATGGTGTGGTTGGCGGGCTGCAGCATGCTTCAGTCATGCGACGTCACACCCTTCCAAGAGCACCTGCACAAGATGGACGTGCCCGTTCACCACGAAGGAGAAGTTGAAGTTAGGAGGAGGAGGGCGTGAAATCTCAAGGCCGAGCACCACCAGCGTCTCTGTGAACACTTGGCATGGTGAGATGGTACTGATCGTCAACCTTGCATGATGTCAGTGCGCTGAATCTCCCCGGGCTGGGCAAAGTCACACCGGAGGTCCGACAACTGGGAGCCCTCCGATGCCTCCGACTCGCCCACCTGAGACTCCGTGGCCTGACTTGCTTCCCTGTGACTGCTCGGCTCTGTCTGATCATGCTCGCTCACAGTGAAGTGATGCTCTGCCCTGGACACGTACAACTCCGATCTGAACAGAAAGGCAGTGACCAAATGTTGTCCGCCCTGCAGCGACTGCAGCGTCTCTGAGTAGACCCCGTCTCCCTTCAGCTGAACGGTCAGTCCATCCTCTTCATCCACACTCATCTCAGCAGTGTACTGGCTGTCAGGCTTCAGACCGCTCACCTATACAGCAGCATGCACGCAACGTCATGTCAGGACCAAGGGCATTCACGCGTACCTGGACCTCAACCACTATCGGGTGGCCGGGAGGGAGCGTATCAGAGTCCCGAGGCTTGAGGAGGACGATCCTCTCGATGTCATCGTCGGCCAGACTTCCATGGAAGCAGAGAAGCAGTAAACCAAGAACAAGCGCAAGACCTCGCATCCTCAAGATATGCACTATGAGGTAGGAAACTCACTTACGGTTGGAATTGCATGGATGTACACTCAGTCAGCCTTGCGGTCTTGTCATGTTGGCAGTCTTTGACGTTGACATGTCTTCTCTCCCTGTTGATTCTCTCTCATCCTCGCCTTCTTCCCATCTTATGGGATCCTCATCTTCATCAGTATGAGGCGCTTGAGAGGGATCGAAGCATTTTGAGTAGGACAACTCAAGGCCGCCCCCGCACTGCACCCGGGCCCGGCCCGGTGCAGTGCGGGGGGTCCGAGTCCAGGACGCGGCTGCAGCCGGCGGCACGGGCCCTGCGGCCCGGGCCGCGCCGAGGCCCGCCGGTAGTATCGTACACGGCGTGGCACGCCGCGGTCCGATCCGCCCGTGGACTCAGCGAGTGACTGGACTCCCCGGGCCCGGCGAACGGTCCGCGAGGAGGTAGACGGAAATATCGGTGATCCGATGATTGCGAATTATTCATCATTCATTGAAGTTTGAATCAATACTAACATTTCTTTCAAGCCAAAATATTTACATTTGATTGCGATTGTGGCATGGCGATTGAAGATAATCGGGCCAACTTGTTAGATTACATCAGTCGTGACGGCTTCAGCCCCCTGTCGGATCATGATGATATATGATTGAATGATCGTGGGGTGACTTCCGCTAAAGAATAAACAGAGAAACTTCGACACCGGCGGTCATTCTCCCTGTCACCATGAGCGTTGGATTCCTGCACAAACACATAAACAACCAACCTCCGAATGTGACAGTGGTTACCAGGCATCCCATGGTACGTCGCGAGAGGATCTTGTCTCAGCATGCCCTTGCGCATGTATTCTTCAATCTCCTGCTCACGTCGCCAATAAGAAGCTCAGTCTCAAGGGTTCACGAGTCAAAACGAGCACATTTTGCAGAGCTTGAATCCTCTGCTTCAAAACGGACCGTTGGGAGGCTCGAACAAGCTTCTCCTCCTCCTCGTAACTCCTGATACGTCATCACCGAGGCTCCTCCGATCCCTCACACCCTCCAACCTCAGTCTTGACAACAAGTGCTGCAACAACCGAGATTTATGACCCGGCCCTTGAAACGTCGAAGGTGCCCACCGCACATTCTCTTGTATTGGCATTCCTTTCATAAGGATGCGTCAAAAAAACATGGCCTTCGTAGGGTCACACATGCAACCAGCCATCGATGATGCCGCATGCCAATACAACTTGATGAAAATCAGTCGCAAGAGCGGTTAGGTAAGAGACAGCAACCTGGTCTTCTTTGATGGCCGACAGGTCAGGATAGCCTTTGTTCGTTTCGAACTCCGGAACTTCTCCTTCATGCCCAGACGAGCCTTCGGTCACAGTCAATGAAATCTGATCGATTGATCGATGATAGAAAGAAATAATACCCAAGGCCGACAGGGAAACACAGAGTGCAACTGCGAAGAGCACAACTAAAGGAGTGTAGAATCCACTCTTGTCCTGCAAGACAGAAAACATCAACTAAATTGGTCGACCAAACATGTTCAAGCATCACAACAACATCCAATGTCAGCTCTATCTACATCAATATCTCTGTCTCAATATCATCGTATGCACAATCTCTGTTCGTGCCATCAGCATGCGTCCTGCTTCAGAAAGCATGGATGGTTCCTCCTCTCAGAATGCCGTCCTCACAACCCCAGCATGCCATTGCTCCCCGTTCATTCATCGTTCAATGGTTCTACTGTTTCATTGTTCCATCGAACAACCGCTTCATTGTCGTTCCTCTCTCTTCAGCATTACCTGCCCTCTTCTGCTCTTGTGCGCCATAGCCCGACGACAGAATTACCGCAATCCACCCTCATCCCCTCACAACTGCTCAGTCCGGGCCCCGGGTCAGGCCCCGGGTCGAGATCCGAAGGTCCCAGGAGTACTGAAACCGACTCATACAGCCCGCTGTGACACAACGGCTGCCAATCCCTGTCGACCAAACGTTGCGGTTTCCCATCGGAATAATCGGAAGGAAAAAACACAACGTTCTGAGAAACCTACCTGGTCAGCGCTGACGTGTGCGGGGACCACCCCTGTGACCAGCCATTTTCGATGCACCGATAGGACCCTACCCAGATGATAAAAAACTGGACAGACTCAGACCCTATCAAATGATGGGATAAAGGAGGGTGAAAGGCATTGCTCGATGCCAACTACCCCCATTTTCGGTATGAGAGAGCACCCCCTTGGGCCAGGTGAAATCCAAGCGTGACGAAAAAGCATTTTTTCATTTTTAAAGCGAAGCGATTCAACTCCAGCTCCGTGCACCGGTCGAATAAGAACTACCCCTCATTTTGGCCTTGATGTACCAGGCTTCAGACTTCAGTCAATACTACCCCCCATGGAGATCCACCCCTCGTTACTCCACTGAACCCATTCCAAGTTGAGTCAACAAATAAAAACATTCAAACGTTGTCAAGCTTACCTCAGTCTTACGCCAAAGGTTGTTTCTTTCTCCAAAGCACCCCACCCGAGGAAAAGCATTTAACTCTATGGACCCAAGTACCAATGTACCCCTGATAGATCATATGTGAACAAGGGGTAAAAATTGGGACTAACCACCCCCTACCCCACAAACTTTTCCTCCAGTTACAATGCCCTTGCGTCCCCCAATTTTAAGTATTAGTTTACAACAAAACGGCAACGTTTCTGGACCCCGATGCTGACAGCTTGTTTAAAGCACCCCACCCTTCGTTTTCCTCCTTCAGCTGGGAAAGCGTAGGGGTGTTAATAAATCATTGTTTCACCCCACCCCGCACCACGTGAACTATCATTTGCAATCTGTTCCGATAGGACCACTACCCCCATAGATCATCAATTATCTAGTGTCAAGGTAGGGTAGAAATCGATGTATCGGACTACCCTACCCCTCCGTATCTGGGGCAGTCCGAAGAGATATGCCACAGCTGAATAACCCCGCAACACCACCTACCCCCAATTTAACTGAGATATTAGGGGGTACGCGGCAGCTCAGTTGAGCTTCAGCCTCTTTCCCCCTGCCGCTCTCCACTGTACCATGAGCTGCTCGAAATAATTTAGCTCCTTTACCTCCAGCTCCTCCTTCATCTCCTCCTCTTCCTTCCCTTCTTTCCCTTGAAGCTATCCTTCGTCCTTGCCCCTCTTGTTCTCTCGGGAATCAAACTTGTTCACTTGTGTTCTCCTGCTCCTAACTCTCACTGGGCGATTGGCATGACTATAACATACCGAACCTATCTAACCCACCCACCTCTAGCTCCTACAATTGTTTGCTCGTCCCATTTATTTCCTAACGATGAGCACTTGCTACTTTTCTCCATCCCTTCCTTCATTGTATATCAGCATGCTGCTAAGAGCCTCTGAGATACGCAATCTCCACAGCTGCGCATCCGCATCCGCATTTCCCTGCTAGAATTGCTGCTCCCTTCATATCTTGAGGAGTTTATGTTGTCCTTTGCTCTGCTAGCTTCCTCATGTCAACGACTGAACCGGCTGCGGCTGAGCCTCGTGCCTGACTCACCTGGTGTACAGACTGCATTGAAGAAAGAAGTGTACCCAACAACGAACATGATCCCTCCCAGAGAAACAAGGATCGTACCAAGAAGGAAGGCAGGAGAGTTTGGAGCAAGCACTACAGCGAAGGACGCAATCACACTGACGGAGAGCGACATCGTCTCGCTGTTCAGTCTTAGGCAGGGGGACGCAGCGAGACATCTGGTGAGCATGGTGGTGGAGTTTTGCTGAGAAATTCCTGACCATTGGAGCAGGGGATCTCGCTAACAGCATTGAAGGCAGCGTGCAGGAGGCTCGGAGTACCCAAGTGGCCGTACCTCCGAGCTCACTGTGTAGAGCAGCAGACGAATGTCAAGAACGCCAGCGACGATTTGTTAGCCTTCTTTGACGTGAAAAGATCGAGTTCACCAAATCCCAGCGGGGGGCAAGTAGCAGCTAGCACGACCATGGTCGCGCCGGAAGGAGGCAGGAAACAGAGCATGGGGGTGGCAGTAGCAGATTTTAGTTTTGGGTTGAACACGCTGGAGCTCGATTCGTTGCTGCAAGAAGCGCTATGTCACGTCGAATCACGATGATGTAGATTAACCACCGATTGATAAGCGAACAATGATTTCTTTGTAATGTTAATTTTGGAAAAAATCAATAACCTCTAATTGGAATGAAACTCTCTGACAATCAAGAGAGGAGTACTTGTATCGATGTTGAGAGAATCTTGCTGGGTGCACAGAATGTGGTGAGGGAGTAGAAGGCATAGGCTGAGAATTCAATCAAAAATCTAGGATACATTGACTTTGACGTTCTGGAGCTGCGCAAGGTACTGCAGGCTCAAGTTAGCCGGGGAGAATAGTGAGGAGAAGAATGAGAGGGCTGAGAAGATAGAGGTACAAGAAGCCGGATGGGTCAGAGAAGGAGGGAGGAGATTGGTCGTTACCTTGTCAGGGACTCCGAGGGTCTTGAGGTCTTTGATCTTGTTCTGCTTGATCTTCTCTATTCTCATGCGCTCCTTCTCAATCTCATATCGGACCTGCCGCAAGATCAGAGGAGGGAGAGGAGGAGAGGGGGGGGGCGGGGGGATCAGGATCAGGAAGAGGAGCAGGAGCAGGAGCAGGAAGAGCTGCTGACCTTAGCACCCTCGTCCAGGAATTCCTGCCTCTGCCTCGCCTTCTTCTCCATGTTCTCAGCAATCTAAGCAGTCTTGTCAGATCCTTCTCCTCCTCCTCCTCCTCCTCCTCCTCCTCCTCCACTACCACCACCTCCTCCTCCTCCTCCTCAGTCAACGTTCTCTCTCTCTCCATCTCTCCCCTCCAACTCCTCCACAACCACAACGTCTTGCCTGCATGCGTAACGCGGCATTGTGGGCCAAGTTCTCTTCCCTCCGCTGTCGCTCCTTGGCAAGCAACTGAGCCTCAGCCGTCTTCTGCACGTGGAGGATCTTCTGGAACTGCTCCTTCTCCATCTGGGCGGCCTGAGACATGACAGCCTGTTTCTGCCTCTGCATCTCATCCCTCGATCGCTGGATATCCTCGAGCTGCTGCTGCTTCCTGGCCGCCTCAGCTCGTTCCTGCCGAGATCACTCGCGTCAAGGTTTCCTGCCGGAAGAAGAGGAACTTGTTTACCCTCTCGCGCCATGAGCGCTCATAATCCTCCGCCGCGCGCTTAGCACGGAGAGCGTCCATCTCAGCAGCCCTGTCGTTCTGCTTCTCCTGCATCGCCCGAAGCCTTGCCACCTCCTCTGCTTTCCTTCTGTGCTCAGCCTCGAGCTCTTCTTGCCTCTCTTGCTCTCTGCCAGGATGTGTCAGGGAGCTGTCAGGTACTGCATGTAGCAAGCTCACTTTCTATCCCTTTCAGCGATGTATGCCGCTATCCTCATCTCCTCCTCCTCCTGAGCCTGCTTCATCTGTCGCTTCCTCTCCAGCTGCTCCTTGTTGGCTTGAGCAGCTTCGGCCAGCATTTCTTGCGCCGCTCGCTTGCGCTCAGCCTCTCGCTCCATCTCTTGCTGTCTGATCTCTTCAGCTTTCTTGAGCATGGCTTCTCTCTCCATGTCCAGTTGTTCCATCTCCCTGATCCTCTCCTGCTCTCGCTGCTGGATCTGAGTTTGAATGATCTGAGCGCCGCGCAACCGCTCCTGCTTCTTCTGCACTTCGCGCTCTTCAGCCAACCTGCGGGCAAGTCCTGTTAGCTGACCAACCACATAACAAGCACAAGTCACCTGATCGCCTTGTTTCTCTCGGCTTCAATCTTTCTCTCGAATTCTCTCTCTTGCTCCTGCTGATCCTTGATTATCATCTGCTTCTCCAGCAACTGCGAAAGGTCCGTCACAGACCGCACGGGATCACTCAAAGAGCAAAAGAACCTGAGCGTCTCGGATCGTCACGCATTTGGCGTACAGAGTCATCTGATTCATTTGCTTCACAGCATCACTCTGCTCCAGTTTCGCCTTCTCGGCATTCGAGTGCAACATCGCCGCCAGCTCCTCGTCTTCGAGCTCCAAGTCTGACTTCTCCAAGTGGGCCTTCCTGCTCGCCTCCATCGCCAGCATCCTCTCCTTCCTCTCCTTCGCCTTGGCCTGCGCAGCCGCTCGCATCTCTTGTTCCTCCCGCCGACGACTCTCAGCTTGATTCAAGGTTTCAGCACGAGCCGCTCTTCTGATTCGATCCATCTCGTCCTGGGTGATGACGACAGAGTCCATCTCCACCTTCTCGTTCTTCTCGAGCTTGCGCACGGTCTTCTGTGATCTCGTGGCCCTGTTCTCTGATGGCCGTGCAGATCTGTCGCTTGTTGGCCCAAAGAGTGATTCATCTACTCCGCCGTTCCCACTTACCCTCTTGTACTTGCCCAGCGACCGTGAGGAAGCCGTCGCGTTTGAATTGCCTGATCCGGCAGAGGACACTGATCGCTGAGAGAGCCTGGTATGATCCATCGTCTTGGCTGCCTCTTTGCTCGCGGTGGTGGTGCTGTACAAGAACGAAGTGGATTTCACCTAAGAACTGATCTGAAGACACTTGATCAAAGATGGGTTTCTGCAAGGAGAAGAAGTGAGGTAAAACAAATACATATTTCCTCAACAAAGTCATAATTCTGCACACGATCACGTATCATTTCTTGCCCAATTCTTCACAACTGTTCAGATCCTTCCTGTCCGACTCCTTTCATCAACATACAAAAGAGTGCTTGCTAGTTGCTAGTTGCTCTGGACTAGCGTTGTGTTTTTTTCATCTCTGCATCACCATCGATGCTCTATCGATGCTCCACCTAATTCTTTCATCATCTTGTTCCCTTTCCTATCTATCATCTGCCCTCGTCGTCATTGTTCGGTGGCCTGCGTTGAATGTAAATCCACAAGAAGAGCTATCGCGTTCCTCTGTACTTCACTCTCAGCTGGTTTGTTTAACTAGAATCCTGTTGTGCTGCTGGACAGTTTGATAAGCTATATTCCTTCTGTGGTGCTGCCCACTGTATACTACACTTACAACAACCCTTCGACGTCTGGTCTCTCAGCCACCTGCTCAGTTCACCTCCAACACTCCTTTCGGAAGTTCCTGAACATCTCCCTCCTCTCTCCCCTCCTCTCTCCCCTCCTCTCTCCCCTCCCCTCTCCTCTCTCCCCTCCCCTCCCCTCCCCTCCCCTCCTCTCTACTCTCGTTTCATCGTTGTCGCGCAGCTTCAAACGGCAGACCTTTTTTTTATTAATCGGTTGTGAGAGCAAAAGGGGGTGGGGGGACTTGATTTCAGAAATAAGGGGGGTAGGGTTCAGCAAGTACGGGTATGCTTCTGATTAAATGGGTGGGATCAAGTGGGGTCTCTTCTGAGTTCAAGGGGTACTGGGGCAACATGTACTAGGAAAATCCGATGTTCACTTGCCAGACTCAAAGAGGTAAATGCTGGAAGATTTCAGAAATTTAGTCTCGATAAATTGAAATTTCAGTCAAAACTTCCTGCAGAACGAATTCGTTGGTCAAATTGGGGTTCGGCCCGTCCGGGGAACCTCCGGTCGGACTCGCCGGGTGCCGACGACTAACTCTAAAATCAGTTTTATACTGACCATAGAAGCCCGCCTCAGACAGATCATGGATGAAAAGGAGATAGAGCAAACTCCGAGGTTGACGGGTGCAGGGAGGGGGGTGGGGGTCAGTGATGATGACAAAGTAGGGGTGTATTTCACTAGATTAGTACGGGTAATCGTAGGAAGTGCAGATCTGGCTGGGTAAATTTTGCTGGGGAGTCAAGTAAAGTATTTCTGAGAGCAAGGGGAGGGGGGTATGTTGTGAGACTATTCAAAAGGGGGTACTTTAGATAGTCAAATAACTGAAAAAGGAGGTGGGGTAGTGAATACTGGGGGTGATAGTAGTGACTGTCGGGGATCGATGATGGGGGTATCTTGGGAAAGGCGTGTGGGTAGAGTAGTAAATTCAAGGGGTTGTGGGGTGGTGGTTGGATATAGGGTAGGGTACTCTTGGGCAACACCAAGTGACTTCCGCTCTGAGCAGGGGTAGGTAGCATTGAATTGATGGGTGTTTAAGGAGGGGGTAGGGTGAAGAAAGATGTGACCGTTTTGTTGGTAGGGTGGGTGAAAATCATTGCAGTAGTAGATAATGGCAGGGAGGGCGAGGGAGAGAGGGGATATGGAGGAGAGGAAACCTGTACGGGAGATAGCAGATAGAGGCAGGAGCGGAGAGATGGAGATTGAAACAGCAAAATTCGACCTGAGGAATAGCTTGCACCATTCCATTTTGAGGGGACTCGAATCCGCAAAGATGAAACCACAAGTCTTATCCTGATACATCATCGAGGATCAATTCAATTCTAGAATCTATATGCAAGTTGAAAGTAACATGAAGCGGGTTAGCGGTGTATTCATTTGAATGGAGGTCGACTTGCTTGATGAATGGTCAACCCGACTAGCTACAAAAGAGGATTGTCCATGGCCCGACTAGCTACAAAAGAGGATTGTCCATGGGAACGATGCCTGGCTTCGAGTCCGTGATGCTCTTGTTTGTTGCAGGATACGATGGAGCTTGTGAAGAATGTTTGGGGCATGTTTGAGAGTCTTGTGCAAGGAAATTCTAAGATCGAGCAAGAAGATGCGATGGCCGTCGATTCACATCCGCAGGCTGAAGTTGTGCAACAACCAACTGTTGACGGTCTTCTATCCTTGTGCATTGTCTGCAGCTAATACATTACACCATCAGATGCATCCAGCTCCCTAGAAACCCTGAAGCTTGATGATCAGAGGTACGCTAACATGTCGTCGTGAACTTGTGCTGCGGAGAAACGGTAACAGGGTCGGCCTGACCAGGAGCGCGGAGGAGAACCTGCCTGCTCTCTTTGCTGCCGTTGAGTCAGGGGATGTGAGTAGCTTTGGACAGCATCTCACTGATAAGAAGCTGCTGTCCTGCTTGAGCCCAGCAGGAAGTAGCCTTGCGTACGAGGCTGCCAGGCGAGGGCACGTGGACTGCTTGCGAGCCATCCTTGCTCAGGGAGGGAACCCGGACATTTCGAATGCAAACAGTCTGACGCCGCTGATTGGAGCGATTGAAGGAGGCAGCCTTGAATGTGTGAAGATCCTGCTGGATGCTGGCGCGGATGTGCACTACAAGATCGAGAGCGGGGACACCGCTATGTTCATGGCCGCCTACCATGGAATGGCGGAGACGATCTCGTTGCTTGCGGTGCAGAGAGGATGGATGGTGGTAGCGAGTGCGGGTGACACTTGCCTGTCTGTAGGAAAGAGGAGGAAACGTCAACGAGAAGGATATTGATGGGAGGACGCCCATCTTTGCGGCTGCTGTGAGTGACATCGGGGAAGCTTCATTAGCTCTTTAGAGGAGTGACTCTGATTTGCAGAACACTGGGAAAATCGATTGTGTTAAGCTTCTTCATGTAAGGCGAGGCATGTCGAACGGAAGGAGATTGACAATGTCTCCAGAAACTCGGGGCTGAAGTCAAGATAGAAGATGAAGATGGCGAGACGCCCTATGACGCCGCAGCGATGACAGGGCAGAATGAGTGCATGTTGTTCATCGAGCAGGTTGAAGCAACCCGAGCTTGACGTTTGTGAGGTTTCTGCTGTTAGGTGGGCGGAAAGTCATGACCCGAACAAGTTGGATGCTACTATTTCTTTCAAGGTGTACATAACAATGAGGATTTGCTGGCTGTCAAGACAAGAGTTCGCCGAGAGAAGTCGCTCGACATCACTAGGCATGGTGCGATCGATACAACCTCATCCTATCGAGATAGAGCAGATCACTCGGGCCCCCCAAGATTTTCCTGCGAAGACGAAAGAATCAAATACCTTTCCAAAGAATCGAAGCGAAACCATACATTTTTTCTCTCATTGGAGAGCTGAGCCGAATGTCCTAGAAATTTGAATCATCAGATGGTGCAACGTGACAAAAACAACATTAAACACATAACAGAATTGAAAACTCGTATTACAGATATTCACGCCCGGTTACATAAATCACAACTCACCCAATTCTGCAGCCTGCTCGTTGGTCCTGATACTGGATGTCCCTTGCAGCTGAAGTCACCGAAGCTCGTGCTCTTGGGCCTCGAGGAGCTGACGAGAAAGTTTTCACCTTCAATGACAGCAAGAAACAAACTCTTCTAGACACCTGAGCATTCCCGATCCCTGTAACGATCTCTTGGGTGACTGGTCCATCGCGGTTGTTTCTGCATCCGTCGAATCACATCAGCGACATGCTCTGAATCGTGACAGCAAGAGGACCTTTGTTTTCAGCGCCTGAAATAGAGGCGGTTGTGCTGTGAAACGATCGTAAGAAGGGATGTCAGAATTTTAGACCCCAGTGAGATGTGAAGTGTGTTTACGTATTGTTGGCGTTCTTGGAAGCTTCCTGGTGTCGGCTTGGCTCATGCATCTTCATCAAGTCAAGAGTCTCGACAAGGGATACACCAACGATTATGTGCGAGATGGGAGCGTCATGCAAAACAGAAGCATGCACACCTCCTTTTGCTGTTCCTGGAAGTGCAACCCTCGTCTAGAAGACACGATCAGAGACGCATAGCAGATGATTCGCAGTCACAACACCTTTGCTCGTCTTGTGGTGGGAAGCTTGTATGCGTTGGTGTATGTCTCTGGACTGAGGTAAGTTGACTTGCTGAACAGCTGGGAAGCAGCACGGGTAAATCGGAGACTGCCTTGGTAACGCTGCAGCGATATCTGCCCATCATGCATCAACGGCCGGCATTGATGAGCGACATGACTCACGGCAAAGATCTTGCTGTGTAGCTCTCCTCCTCCTCCATCCGTATCGTTCGGAGCGAGTTCGACGGCCATCTGGAACGAGTCACGAAGAGGTTTTAGCAAGCTCGTTGGGCATACATGACGTTCCTTCCTGTATGGTAGACAGCACCTGACTTCTCGAGAGGGTTTGTATCCTTCACGCACAGAGACTATGTCAGCTCGATCCAGGACGTTGTTTCCCAGGACTCACAATTACAAGCCCCCCCGAGGTGTATCCTCGGACCCTGTCAACCTGGGAGCAGGAGGTGGAGGAGAAGGAGTAGGAGGAGCTGGAGTAGGAGTGGTACTGCTTCCTCGTCCTAGCTTCCTCTCCCTGATGCTCCTCCAGGAAGCGCAAGTCGGCGGCATGCGACAAACCGAGTTCTCCCGGCAATGCCATGATCGATCTTCCAGGGCGCTGAGGCGGACTGCATCAAGTGCGGGATCACTGCATGGTAGGGTGCAGATAATGGAATATTTGATGGGGTGGGGTACAAAATTGTGTATGAAGTACCGGTTATATATAATGATTTGTGTCAAATTCTCATATGGTGGGTATAAAACTTGAGGGGTAGGGTACTCATTAGCGAGGGTTGCGATTAGGAGGTAGCAGGAGAAGCTTCGCCACCATGAGCGACGTAAGCGAGGAGGGGAGGAGGGGAGGAGAGGAGGGAGGCGAGGACCAGGACCAGGACCAGGAACTGGATATGGGGTGTGAGGGAAGAGGAGGAGATGGTGGTGGTGGTGGTGGTGGTGGGGAGGGGGAGGGAGGGTGGCAAGGCAAGCCAGTAGGATCGCGGGTAGGGAAGAGCGCAAGAGGGGGGGAAGAGGGAGGAAAAGGATAGGTCAAGTCACCCATGTGAACTAAAATGTGAGCAGGACATGATGGAAGACGAAGACTACGAGTTCGATTACGAGGACTCCGACCAAGAACAGGATGACGGGCAGGTGGACATGGAGAATGAGTACTACACAGCGAAAGGTGCGATGGAGGTAGAGCGTGCATGGGCAAGGCTGATCATGGCGCAATGAGCAGGCCACCTACAAGACGGGCAGCTTCAGTCGGCCCTTGAAGGGTTTCAGAAAGTGTTGGACATGCAATCAGATAGCAAGGGAGAGTGGGGGTTCAAGGCCCTGAAGCAGATGGTCAAGGCGCTGTTCCGGCAGTCGAGATACGATGAGATGATGAAGAGATACAAGGAGCTTCTTGTGTACCTGCACGTGGTGACCAAGAATCAGAGCGAAAAGGTGAAGGTGGGAGGGGAGGGCTGCATCGATGGCTGACTTGTCTTCAGGTCATGACCAAGATCGTTGACTTCGTGTCTGGATCACCAGACATGGACTTCCTAGAAACCTTCTACGACACAACCCTGACGGCCCTCAAGGACTCTCTTAATGAACGCCTGTGGTTCAAGACCAACATGAAACTGGCGAAGCTGTGGTTTGATAAGCATGAGTTCAATCGGTTGCAGGTGAGGAAAGCTTGTCAAGTAGTGACTTTGTAGCTCCCTGGCTCTTGTTGCTCTCTGGGAGGATAGATCGAAAGATGGTGTCGCTGATTGCGGGGGTTTTAGAAAATTCTCAAGGAATTGCATCGATCATGTACGACCGATGCTGGTCAAGACGATCAGAAGAAGGGGACGCAGGTCTGCGAGGAGACGGAGGCGAGCTGGAAGCCAGCTGACTTGAGACGACAGCTTCTGGAGCTCTACTCCCTGGAGATTCAGATGCACACTGAGAAGAAGGACAACAAGAAACTTCGATCGACGTACGAGCAGGCGATGAAGGTCCGTCTGCACGCCCGGGGAGGAGGAAGAGGCTGAACGCCCGGGGCAGGTCAAGAGCGCCATCCCCCACCCCCTCATCATGGGAGTGATCCATGAGTGCGGCGGCAAGATGCACATGCAGGAGCGAGATTGGGGTGAGAGGAAGACACGAAGATTGGGAGGGGAGGAGGGAGGAGAGAGGAGGGAGGAGGGGAAGGGAGAGGGGATGGGGAAGGGAGAGGGGATGGTGATGGAGAGGAGAACGATTCTCTGTGTTGAGTGGTTGCTTTCAGCTTCTGCTTCCAAGTGCTTGTTTGATGCTTTCAAGAATTACGATGAGGCTGGCAATCAGGTAATCACGAGCTTATGTTGCCTCTTGCTTTACGGCATACCCCCTCCCATCCCAACCTCTCCTCTCCTCTCCCCTCCCCTCCCCTCCCCTCCCCTCACATCACATCACATCACATCACATCACATCACATCACATCACATCACATCACATCACATCACATCACATCACATCACATCACATCACATCACATCACATCACATCACATCACATCACATCCTTGCCTCTCCTCGTATCTCCTATCTCCAATCTCATATCATTTTCTCTCATACTCTTTTCTTTCATCTCATCTCGTCTCTCTTGAGAGACCTGACATTTTCTGCAAGAAACGCATTCAATGCCTCAAGTACCTCATCCTTGGAAAAATGCTCTCAATGGAAGACGCCAACATCTTTGAAGCTCCCGAGGTAATGTTGAGCACAGAGGACTCGGTTACAATCATGGAGATGATGATGATGATGATGATGATGATGATGATGATGATGATGATGATGATGATGATGCAGGTCAAACCTTACAAGCAAGACCCCGAGATAACAGCAATGAACGACTTGATGATGGCGTATCAGCGGGACGAGATCAAAAACTTTGAAAACATTTTGTCGAGAAACCAGAAGGTATATTGGGAAAAGACTCTTTCTCACCTTCCTCTCGCTTCATTTCATCTTATCTTCCTTCTCTGCTCTGAAACACTACTTGAAACTCATCTCCTCCTTGCCGTCTTGCGCCCCTCATGTTTGTTGGAACGAGCAGAAGATCATGGAGGATCCTTTCATTCGGAATTACATTCAAGATCTCTTGAAGAATATTAGAACCCAGGTGAGATTGTGTCGACAAGTAGACGACTGCAACTCTGTCCGTCTCTAACAACTTCTCCTCTCCTTGCCTCTCCTCTCCTTGCGCTCCTTCTCGTCTCCTTCAACGGCAGGTGCTTGTCAAGACCATCAAGCCGTACACGAGGATCAAGATCCCGTCGATCGCTGCTGAGCTCAACATCCCTGAAGTAAGAGGAGCGCAACAGGGAGGGGGGAGAGGAAAAGAAGGGAGAGGAGGGGAGGGGAGGGAAAAAATGAGCAGGGCACTCACGAAGTTTCTCGCAGTCGGACGTTGAGGCTCTCCTCGTGTCGCTTATCCTCGATCGCAAGATCATCGCAAAGATTGACCAGGTGCTGAAGATACAGAGAGGAAGCGCTGAAGAGGCGCAAGGGACGGGTGGCTAGGGGATCAGGGGGTAGGGGAGGAGGGGACGGGTAGGAAGGCGGACTAGGGGAAGGCAAGGGAAGCAGAGGAAGACGAATTGAAGGATGGCATGCAGGTCAACCACATGCTCGTCTTGGATACGGCAGATGATGCCAAGAGCAAGTACGAGGCGCTCGACCAGGTGAAGGGATGGCAAGCGAAGCGCCGGGAAGGAGGAGGAGAAGGAGGAGGAGGTGGTGGTGTAGGTGGTGGTGGTGGAGGAGGAGGAGGCGATTGGAAGGGAGGGAGCTGGAGGCAGGAGGGGAATGACTTGGCGGCAGTGGCGGGAAAAGCTTTCAGCGCTTCATGCAACGGTGATCAACAAGATAGGACAGACTTAGAAACAGTAAAGTCTTCACCTCCTGCTTGTTGCCTTGACCCCCCCTCCGCCCCCATCACTCTAACTCTCATCCCTCGTTCCGATTCCTGAAAGAAATTCTCCTTTGTCATTTTGATATGATTGTTATGTACAAAAAGAACAAGCTTGCCTCGTCTTAGTTCTTCTTACTCTCACTTCATCATCTCCCCCTTAGCCATGTCACTCGGTCTTCTCATTGCCCACTCTCGCTCCTGCAAAGAATGTGAAAGAATGAAGCGATCAAACTGAATTCATCATCATCGTCATCATCCACAACAACAGCAGTATCATCGCCGTCGTCGTCGTCATCATCATCATCAACATTCATAACAACACTACTGCTCCTTTGCGTCTCCCCCCTGCTCTTCCTCTCCCTCTCCCTCTCCTTCTCCTCCTTTCCCCGCTCCCTCCCCAAGTCTTCTTCTCACCTCGTCGGTTACGATTGGAATGTCTTTTCCAGGTATGAAGGGCGATCCCACCCTCGGTCGCTTCAATTTCTGATTTTCGCTGTAGCTACAAGGGGGTCGAATGTTAA